GAACCCTGACCAACCCCAACCAACCCTAACCAACCCCAACCAACCCTAACCAACCCTAACCAACCCTAACCAACCCTGACCAACCCCAACCAACCCTAACCAACCCCAACCAACCCTAACCAACCCTAACCAACCCTAACCAACCCTGACCAACCCCGACCAACCCTGACCAACCCTGACCAACCCTGACCAACCCTAACCAACCCTAACCAACCCTGACCAACCCTAACCAACCCTGACCAACCCTGACCAACCCTAACCAACCCTGACCAACCCTAACCAACCCTAACCAACCCTGACCAACCCTAACCAACCCTAATCCTGACCCTCCATGTTTAGCTTGTATGTGGGTTCCTGAGCGTCACGTTTTATGGATTAGAGCCAAACCGATCAAAACCAACATTGTTTTTCATGCAGTTAGAATAGAATATTTTCTCCGGTGGACGAAGACGCCGCTGTAGGGACCAGATCTGCTCGGGGCCCCACCCCTACTCATGACATCATCATATGGCAACTACACAGGGACAAACTGTATTGCACCCGTTTCTTAAGGATCAAATCTCAACATATAATTCCCAATATTTGCTATTATTTTAACTTTTCTAAAGTAGTTAAAGTAGAAAACAATCATTATCAGTATGAAGGAAACCTCGGCCTTCTAAGACAGACTGAGTTCTGCCGCTTAAAAAGAAGACTCTAAAAGTCTCGCTTATTTTTATTCTTTTAATTAAGATCGGAGGACAGAGGAGGACAAATGGAATATCTTAAAAAATGACTTTCTTAGAGATTTTAGACAAATAAAACAGTTATTCTGCTTTTAGAAAACAAACGGTTGTTGTTGACACAAAGATAAAGTAGCGTAGCTAAATATGGCTAACTGAGCGAGCTAACCTGTTAGCTAGTGAGCACAGCTAGCCACAGCGCTACCCAGCTCTCCCCCTTTATACCATAGCCTCACAGTTACTTTGTTCACCAGAAACAGATTTTTATTCAGTTTTGTTATCAGTCAGGAAAAACGTTGTCGTTCTTTAAACACGCTAACGCTACAGATGCTCCCGACTCGGCACCCTGACGATGCGTGATGTTATTATCGTTGTCTGGGCAACCATAGTGTTTTACTTTGTGTGGCAACGTTCATCCAATCATGTAGTGCAGAGGTGAAGGATTAGCGGACCGGGGATCCTGATCCACCTGCTGCCAGATCCAGACTCACCGGATTTAAAACATTTATATGTTGTCTAACTTCACTTGCTCCTCTTCTCCTGTTAATACGGTAAAGCCCTGGGGAGCGTCCGG